TGGTCAGCAATCTGAGTTTGCTTCTGCAACACCGTGGGATTATAGAATAATCATGGTCCATATTTGCCTGGTAACACTTCAAATTAGTGATATACTATACATTCCTGGTGCTGCTTCAGTGAATAGTGTTCACGATTATTTGGACTATATTGTTCTAGCCATGATTGCTACTGTCCGGAGAGCAAGTATCAACATGCAGATATTTGATACCATGAATATCTGGACTTCCCTAGAGTTGCCTTGTTGGATATGTCATTGTTTGGACCCGATGCTTCTCGGTGGTAACCAACAAAACCTGGGCTTCGAAGGTTACTTCCTTGGAGATGATGTTGCTGATGGTCCAAGTTTTTATGCTACGGTTGCTATTGAATATTGGTTAGCAACTTTTATCCTACCAGTGCAAACACCATGGGATCCTGGTGGTTCTGCTCCTCCTTGGTACCACAGTCATCGGCTTGAGGACAAGCCGCACTTTAAGGGGGCGAGAATGTCATGCCCGAGTGGTCATGCTGCTGTGCTCTCATTGGGCTTTACTTCGGAAGGGGCTGTGGTGCTTGGGCTTGGCCCAACTACAGGAGTCGAGGTCGCCGGTTATAAACGAAGAGAGCAGCACATGGGAAAGGCATCGAACTGATTGAAAAGTCTGAACCTTCTCGTCCTCCTGCTCCCGTTCCTCACCCTTCTGCTACCTGTATCTCATCCCTCTTCTTCTGATCCTCACCCCAAATTCCCCTTGTATCCCTTGATTTGTACTCGATATTGGTACTGATCTGACTGTCCGTCCCATATCCATGTTTGGGTCGTGACAAGATCGAACCAGGAACCTACTGTTAGGTAGGAAAGAGCATAGCCAACGCGCTAGATCAGCTTTCTTGGTTAACAATGCCGCGCGATGCTAAAGGTAATGTAGGTCTGAACATTTTGTCAAATCCCAACGCGGACATTATTTTGAAAAAAAAATGTTTTTTTAAGTGAACACTTTTAGAATTAGACAAGAAAAACCTAAAAATCGCGGACATTTTCGGAATATGCGAACAAAGTTTTGGTAAACTGAACACTTGTTTGAAAATCATGAACATTTTTTAATATGTGAACATTTTTTTGTTAAAGAGAACATTTTTTGAAACCCTGAACAAAAATTTGGAAAAGCGAATATTTTTTGAATTCATGAACAAATTTTCAAACAAGAACATTTTTTCAAACTCGGAACAAAAATTGAAAAAACGAAAACATGTATTAAAGTTGCAATCTTTTTTGAAAAAAAGGTACACTTTTTCTGAAATCATGAACATTTTTTAAAACTGTGACAATATTCTTAAAACGAAAAGGGAACAGGCGAAAATAAGAAGCAAAAACGAAAAATGAAGATTAATATTTTTCAAATTCAAAAACAAATTTTGGATACGTAACCATTTAAAAACATGGAAAAACCTGAACAAAATTGGAAAATTTAAACACTTATAATAAATTGTGAACATTTTTTGAAACTCCCAAACAAAGAAGAAATACACACATTTTTGAAAATTGCGAACAGATTTTGAAATGGAAACATTTTTGTAACTACAGAACAAAATTGGATGACACGAACATTTTTCTTAGAATTGCGAATAAATTTTGAAAGACGAACATTTTTTCAAAGTCTAGAAGAAAATTTGAAAACGCGGACATTTTTTTTAATTATAAACAATATTTGAAAAGTGAACATTTTTTCTACATATGCGAACATTTTTATGAAAAATAGAGAAATGTTTTTTGAATTTGTGAGAAAAGATAATAAGAGAAACATTTTTGAAGTTTTGAGCATTTTTTGAATTTTTGAACATAATTTGAAATTCTCAAGTACAAGAAAGAGAAGAAAAGGAATTATGAAGGAATAGAAAAAATGAAGTAAAGAAACATAAATTTGAAAAAGTAAAAAAAATTGAAACTACGGAAGAACATTTTTTTATATCTGTGAACAATTTTTGAGAAAGGCAACAAGTACTCTAAATGTGAACATATTTTATTTTTTTAAGAAAAAGAACATTTTTGTATTTTGTGAACAAACTTTGAAACGAGAACATTTCCTAAATTTATGAACAAAATTTGAAAATGGGAACATTTTTAAAATTTTCGAACATTTTCCGTGAATCTCAAACAAAATCTTCAGAAATCACAGTTTATTGAGAAATTACAAGTATTTTTTCAAATTAGCATACATTTTTCAAAAATGTGAACATAATTTGAAAATAAGAACAAAATTTAGAATTCTGAACAACATTTGAAATTTCCAAACATTTTTTGAAAAAAGTAAAATAAACTTGAAATCTGAAAAAAGGAAATGAAAAGGGACCAGAAGAAAAAGGAAACAGTAAAAAAGAGAAACTAAAATCAGGAGGAAAAAAAAGGTTCCGAACTGGAACGAACATACTGGTCGAATGGGCCGGCCCAGTAGCTTCGCTGGTTCCCTTCCTTCTGTGCGATACGGCGACAATTTGCCGCAACGCGCGGTAAATAGGGATTTCCGAATGAATCATCCGTTGAAGGGCAGCCTCTAGCTGATGTGCCCTATTTTAGGGTCCAACAGGTTTTGCTCGATGGAGCAGGCCCATTTTTATTAGACAATGCCGCTCATTATTGATCATGAAACATCATTACAAAGAGTTTTCCGGGTGCAATCTGAAGTTGCATTGCGCTTGATAAAATCACCAAATAAACACACAATTACGCTATCAACCACTACATTTGACAAACGATTAACATGACTAAACATGCAAGCTGAGAAGTTGTGTACCAAAACTTTGATATCGATGATTACCGTCCCAATGGTCTAGCTATCTGTTATCTGAGAATGAACTTCCAAACTGACAGATAGATAATCCGGAGCAAAGATGGCATTCTAAAAACCTTGTCAACCTTCTTGATGAGCAAGAAGGTTTTCAAAAGATTGTCTTCTGTAAACCTTCTTGAAGATGGCCTTAGTGCATAGCACACGAGATTGTTTGGATATGCCAGGTGTTGGGCTCCAGAACCATGCCTATGAGATGCCGCTCTGGATCCTCATACATGTGTCCTGCCCCTTTCAAACGAACTTCACGTGGTCGTCAGCAAGTTTCCTGGCGCCGCTGATGACTCGCGTCGTGGTAGAATAAGAGACGGTATGGGGAGTTGTAGCACATCAGGCCGGGATAGGGAAGATGGGATTCGGTTGTTTGCTGATTCATCATACACGTGTACGCTGATGGAATGGGTCATTCTGTTGGGA